GAATATGTGTCACCAGAATGAATTGTTAAGAGATATATTTTCACCCGGGTTAAAGTCACCTGATATTTAATTTTTATTATATATATTATATATAATATAAATCCATATATTAAAATTAGTCTATACTAACAATTAACTAACCAATATATAGAATCTTTAGTTTTTATAGCAGCTTATATTAATTATATAATATAGTGACAATTATATATTGGGTGACTTTAACCCGGGTGAAAATATAATCTCCCAATAAATTATTCATAAATTACCGTAGTATAAAAATTTTTCATTTAAATTTCATTATCGAAATTCATTTCATCATGTCTTAATCTTGCATTGATCTTTTCCTCAATTAATGGAGACACGGTCAAAGGTGAAATGCTTAAAGAAAATGCAAGATCTCTTAACGTAATTGATGGAATATCGTGATTTTCATCATAATCATCTCGAATCTGATTAATGCAATTATGTAAAATATTTTTCACATAAAACTTTTAAAAAATAAAGAACGTTATTTTTTTTTATTTGATTAATTTTAAAATACTTTATGCATTATAATAATAAAAAAAAGACTTACCTCTAATGCAAAAACCATTAAAGACGCGCAATCTTCCTGCACACCACCAAATAATCCATGATTGAGTGCAATTTCAGTCATGCGCATATAGACATTTTCATAATCAGGAAATTCTCTTTGGCTTATTGATTCCTCTGAGACACTTTTTGAACAATGCATCAAGCCTTTTTCGTTAGAATTTCGACTATTTTTTATATTCTGTCAATGATAATGACAATTTCATAACTATACAACAACTCTTAAACCTTTTTTCTATCAATTGATGGACTTTATTTGTAATGTATTATTGTAGGTAAACTTGCCTTTAAAAAGTGATGTAATAGATCTCTATCTTCTTTTTTCATCGACGATAGTATCCCCTTTAATGATCTGTAATTTGATATGATATCATTTTTTTCATTTAACGATTCACAAGTTTTTTTCTGTATATCTCTTATCACGCGACAATTTGATTTTTGTTTGTTGTTGTTAATACTAGCTCGAATAAGGTCATCGTGAAGTTGAGCTAATATTTAAGTAGAAAATGCATAAACAATGAGTTTTGACAATAGTTTATATATTGGCTGCGATTAAGTACTTGCCATGCTCTCTAGGCAAAAACAAGTTCGCCAAAAAATCCAGCTCCATCCTATTTAATTCTCCTTTTATGAAACTTTGAACTGCTTTCCAATATTGCACCTTGTTGTCACCCAAGGCAGTATCAAGTTGAGTTTTTAGCATTAGAGGATCTCTAGACCTGACTATAGTGTCTGAATTCATTGCAAATTATTGGCCGCATAGATCTAAGATCCGCAGTTATATATATAATTATACCGATACGTACTAAAATAAAGCAATGTGCGTCAGTTGACCAACATTAAATGATCGGCCTAAAAAAACTCCTAACTTTACCGTAATTTTACCCTAACCCTAATCTAACTTAGGCCGATTGCTGACGCACGACATATACATATATGTCCAAAGCGAACAATGAAAATACTCCAATCTTATAATCATATAATACTCATCAATCATTGTTTTGAACATTGAACAAAATTTGTGTATTTATTTAGTCTTTAAGAAATCTTTTTTTTTGAAAGATTATAGATTATGCGTTCACTTGTTATTTGATTGGTCGATAATGCAATTTTTTATCATGTGAAATCGGTTACACGATTTTTGACCAATAGAATTAGCTACACATGTAGATCGCTACATATTAAACGAAGATATCTCAACGACTACCAAACCGAATTCGATGAATATTTTTTATTTTGATTCTATATACTTGTAGAATCAAAAAAAAAAAAAAAAATCGTCGAATTTGGTTTGGTGGTTGTTGGTTAAATTTTAAAAAAATTCTACTACGGCTTGAATTTAATAGGCAGTTTAATGTATTGGCAAACTTTAAACAAAGATATCTCGACAACCACCAAACTAAATTCGATGAATTGTTTTTTATTTTTGACCTGGTATACTTGTAGGATCAAAATAAAAATTTTTATTGAATTTAGTTTGATG